GAGCAGGATGGTGTGAACACGACTTCTGATTGTTTCTTCACCAAGAAACAATATCAATAACACTTCTTGATGACTCCAGTAGGTGGAGATCGAACTGGGACGGTGCCAAGAACTGAGGGAGAGAAAAGACTATAAAGAGGAGTGTATTCCTTCTGTGGAATTCGCCCCCTATTTATAATCCCTTCAGGATTAGCTTCCTAATCTGATTAGAAATGAGATTTCCTTATCTAAATCTTGTATTTAAATCTAGACTCTCAAGTTGATAAGACTTGTCTTATCCAACTACTAATCCCAGTCAGATTATAAACCTAGAATGGCCCAATTTAATTAAACCATTTAAGCCCAGCTCGAAATGGGCTTAGGCCCATTAAGTCATATTGCTCACTTAACCCATTATATGCTGGCTAGTTTGGTTCTCTTTATATGGTGTGGGACCCTAGCATTGATCTACACATCAGCCACATAGGTTCAGCCCATGCCTTGTTGAATTCACCGCAGGTCACAGTGAACCCCCGAGTCCATCACCATAGGCTCTTAATGGGCTCAACATTTACACTAAATGGTCATTGGGTTGAACCACCATTTTGTGAAAACCCAAGGATTGTGGGCAGATGCAAGATTAGCCCATTAGGTATTACCCTCAATGGCCTTACACTTAACCTCTCAACCCTTAATGATCAAACACTGCTCAACAAGAGAGGACCTCTCCCTCGGCTGCAAGGTACAGTGCTGCACTCTCTACTCACATGGATCCCGGGAATTAAAACCTTTTTGCAAACAATTTGAAACCATAATATATAAGTATATCTCTATATAAATATATTTTGCAAAACCAAATTTCAAACACATTTGAAATCCACTGCCGGCAATTTAGGTTTCCATCAGAGAGAGTGCATTCCCCGATCATTCACTTTGTCCGACAAAGGGGCTGATCCTGTCACTATGATTACCCACTCAGGTGAATTCTCAGACTGCCCCAACATACCCAGGTTTTGACACAGTAAAGGGTCTCATTGATTGGCATATCAAAGACAACCCAATCCGACTCCTAGTGCAATACCATAATCGAGTCTAGGGGTCAAGTGTAACATTTCAGTTTTTCCCATCTATCTCCAAGGTCCAGGGTAATACTGGAATTTGGTCTGATTCAGGGTTTCAAGCAAACCCACACTGCATGTACCTCAGGTCTCACCCTAGCAGCTGAAACAAGCCACCCCAACCAACTTGGCGGCACATCAGTGTCAGCCTTGGCAGGATAAATCTCCCAAGATCTATCCAACGGCTGTGAAAATTCTAAACAAACACGAGTCTCATAAGTGTCCAGATTAAGGGTATTACACAAAAACACACCATAAAAACATGAATCAATTATGCACTTTATTCATTTACAATAAATGACAATAAGTACATCAATCTTATTGGAACTAAGGGCATACATTGTCTAACATTCCCTCTATTATTGCACCCAACCAAGGTGCTTTTGTGGAGGGAAGACAGATCACCAATCAGATTCTCATTGCAAATGAGAGCTTGGAGAGTTTTAGGAAGTCAAAGAAGGGTGTGGTCTATAAATTGGACTTGGAGAAAGCTTATGACTTGATTGATTGGTCTTTCTTGTTGAAGGTTTTAAGGAGCTTTGGTTTTGGAGGTAGATGGTGTAAGTGGATTTGGGGCTGTGTCAGGACCTGTCATTACTCTATCCTGGTAAACGAAACTGTGGTTGACTTCTTTCCTACGTTGAGAGGCCTAAGACAAGGAGATTCTCTTTCCCCTTTTCTTTTCACCCTGATTTTTGATGTTTTCGGGAGATTGATCCATAGAGCAGACTCGAGGAATCTGATAAGAGGGTGGAGAGTAGAAGGGAGGAGGTTCCTTTAACACATCTACAGTTTGCAGAGGACACAATTCTGTTCTATGAAGAAGGAAACCTTAATTGGATCCGGAATCTAAAGTTGGCAATACATCTCTTTGAACAGATTTCTAACCTCAAGGTGAACTTTGATAAGAGCTATGTGGTGGGAGTGAATGTGGATGTAAGGGGCCTTCCTAAGGGAATACGCAGGTGAGCTAGGATGTGCAATCTCGGACTAGCCCTTGACATACTTAGGCCTCCCTTTAGGAGACAATCCTAAGAATGTAAGCTTCTGGAATCCGGTAGTGGAGAGGTTTGAGAAGAGGCTGGCGGCTTGGAAGATAAATTATCTTTTCTCTAGGTGGGAGAGTCACTCTTATTAGATCTACCCTAGCTAACCTACTTGTCTACTATTTGTCAGTGTTTAAGATACCCTCAAAGGTTTCCAATCTTTTGAAAAAATTAATACGGAATTTTCTGTGGGAGCCTAGAGAGGAGAAGAGAGATCATAGGGTGAGTTGGGAGGTGATTACTAGGTGTAAAAAACTAGGTCTTGGGATTGGTAACTTTAAGAAAAGGAATATGGATCTGTCGGGGAAATGGTTGGGGAGGCTTTCAGTGGAAAGGGATAAATTGTGGACTGAGATTGTGGCTAGCATACATGGGATGGAAGACAATGGTTGGGATCCTGGAATCATGGCAAGGGCTATAGCTGCTTCTCCTTGGAAATCCATTCACAATCTGCTTCCCGTCTTCTCTCCTTGGATAAGGTATGGTCTAAATTCTGGTAACCGAATAAAATTCTGGGAACAACTTTGGGTTGGGGATTCTCCTCTAAAGGACCAGTTTCCTTCCTTGTATGCTCTATCAAATTTGAAAAATGAACCTACCTCTTCTTTCTTGGTTCCTTCAGACTCCACTTCTGGCTTTGGGTGGAACTTAGGCCTGCGTAGGGTAATTAGGGATACAGACTTGGATAGCTTGGTATCTTTGCTTGCCTCCCTTAAGAATGTTTTCCTAAATCCTGCTAAGGAAGACACCAGATTTTGGACTCCTAACTCTAGTACTTTTTCTTCTGTCTCGTTTTATGAAACTTTAACTCAGCCTCCTGTCCCCTTTGGGTTGTCCTTTCCGGCTAAAGAAATTTGGAGCAGACCTATTCCTCTTCGGGTTGGCTTTTTTTGTTGGAAATTTTTCTTGGAAAGAATTAACACATTTGACTTACTTCAAAGAAAGAGACCCAACTATTGTCTACTTCCTAATAGATGTACTCTTTGTATAGCCGATGGGGAATCCGGCTACCACCTCATGGTCTCTTGCAAGGTTGCTAAAACTGTTTGGGAGTGGGTTTTCTCCCACTTTGGGTGTTCTTGGTTTCCTCCAAAGAGTGTCCAAAGGTTGTTTTCTCCTTTTTTCAGATGGCCTAAGAAGCAAGGGAAGACTATGTGGAGGAGTATTAGGGCATCAGTGTGTTGGTCATTGTGGGAAGAAAAAAAATCACGTATTTTTTTAGACAAGGAAAGAACCCTGGAAGAATTGTTAGACCTAATCCTTTTAAGGGCTGCCCACTGGCTGAAATCTTTGGAGTTGTTTTCAGACTTTCCTGTGGATGACTTGCTAAGAAACTGGAAAGAGATTGCTTCCACTGCTAGATGCAAGAGGACTCTTTGTCCCTCTTGGTCCCCTCCCCCCTTGGGTTTCATTAAGTTGAACTTTGATGGCAGCAGTGTAAGGAATCCAGGACCCTCTGGGATTGGAGGAGTTTTCAGGAATGAGGAAGGGGTTGTTATTGCTCTATTTTCTAGCCCTATTGGAGAAGGTGACTCTCTTAGGGCTGAGATCCTTGCAGTGCTTGAAGGAATTCGAAGAGCAAAGGAATTAAATGTCAGCCAATTGATCCCGGAAGGTGATTCGAAGGTGGTGGTTAACTGGTTGAAGAAAGAGGACAGTGGTTTGTGGAACTTTAACAATGAAAAGAAGCAGTTCTTATGGATGTGTAGGGACATTGAGATCCAATACAACTGGGTGAAGAGGAGTGCCAACTCATTTGCGGATGGGTTGGCCAAGCAAGGGGTGAATAGGGAGTCTGTATTTTGGGCTAGTTTTTAATTTTTCTCTCTGTATTCTCTTTGTATTCTGTATTTGGGGAACTAAAATATTTTATCTCCCCTCTTGTATACATACTCCCCCTTTTCTCTTAATTTAATGAAGCTGGTGTTATAGATAAAAAAAAAAAAAAAAAAAAAAAAAAAAAAAAAACTCTTATATTCTTTGTTTTTTGATATTATAATAATTAGTAGATATTATTAAACTAGCTTCTTAAACAAAAAAAAAATAGATATTGTTAAACTAAAATATTCATTTTGTGGGTTTACATACTAGCTTCTTTTTGCTATTTTCTTATTTGTCAAGGTTCAATCAACACACGTTGGTGTATGATGTCTTGAACCCTCAAAGGCTTCAAAACCCAAATCAATAAGCAATGAAGAGCTAAAATTTTATTCAATCAAAACATTCTTTATCTTTATCATCATCTTCTTCTTCTTCCTTTTTCCCCTCTTCCAAAACAAAAATAGGGACCCAGCCCCTATGTTTTATGAATTTCCATTCTTCTTTTTCTTCTCATAAATATGTTGATTTTCTATGTTTTAATATGAAGCTTATATTTTTTTCATGAAGTTTATAGGTAACTATAAAAGACCCATTCCCTATGTTCCCTATGTTCATTAACTATTCAATTGAAGATACAAAATCCACTATATACTTTTCTCTGGTTTCAGAGCTACTAATGGTCTATTATACATTTCTAATTCCCTTCATATGTGCACTAAATTTTCGAAGTGCTAGTTCCACATAATGAAATATGGAAGGTCAGTGAGCATCCACAAAAAGATTCCAATTCCTTCAATACCAACATTGAAAGTAGATATGGTTAACAAATAAACAAAAAAGGACTCTACAAGGAATGTTAAGCATGCAATTAAATCTTGTCACTAGCATCTGGCTCGGCCAAGACTTTACACTGCCACAAACCTTCCCAACAAAGTCAAAGGAAATAGTTTAAATTAAGAAAGTTGTATAGGTACTTGATTGAAATATGAAACAATGATATTTATTGAGCGGTAGCATGCCAGTGCAACTAACTCACAATGTGAAGCCAAAGGCACGTTAGTGTAGATTCACGACACTTCAATAATGTTGTTGAAAGATGATGAGTTGCAGTAGAGTCTGGATGCTGTGTGGGGTCAAACATATAATAGAGTTGAATGCAGCAGGTTTAGTGATGGAGGGTGTCGCACTATGACAATGATAGGTCATATCTACGTCTGCAACTCAAAGCACCATGACCAGATTTATTGCAAATTTGGCAAACAAGTTGATCAGCATTGAAACTGAATCTGCTACCTCTTCCACATCCCCTTCCTCTGTTACTGGAAATCTTGGGTTGATTGTAGTTGTTCTTTGGTGCATTCATTGGCATATTTGCTTGAGGATTCTTGTCCTTTGGCAGCTGAATATGTTGCTCAATCCAGGCCTCATGACTAAGTAGAAGACCAAAGGATGTTAGTAAAACTGAGGTTATCAGCATCAGGTCTTGTAAAAACAGCTGTAATGAGGGAGTCATACTCTGAGCCCAAACCAGAGAGAATGTAAAGAGCCAAATCTTCATTGGAGACAGGTTCAGAAATAGCTGACAAATTATCAGAAATTGCTTTTGCTTTCTGCACATAACCAGTGATAGAGAGAGTACCATTTTTTAGTGTTTTTAATTGGAGTCTCAACTGTGACGCTCTAATGGAGAAAGATTTGGCCAGTGCTGCCCAAACATCAGCAGCAGTTGATAAGCCAATGACCTGAGCGAGTATTCCCTCAGTCAAAGAACATACTAACCAACTAAGAACTAGTTGGTCTAATTGCATCCAAGTCTGATATGCTGGATTAGCAATCATGGCTCCAGTATTCAATGGATCAGTGATCTCCTTTGGTGGCGCCTTTGTAGTTCCATCAATAAAACCCATAAGTTGATGGGTTCTCAGAATCGGCAGCAACTGTGCTTTCCACAGCAAATAATTTTCACTGTTGAGTTTTATTGGAAATGGAAGATAATGAGAAATATCGAGGAAGTTCATAGTCACCGAGCTAATTGAAGAAACGTTTGATGATGTAGCAGACTCAGGGGTTGAAGAAGTTGAGGACGACATGATTACTGTGACATAATAGCTCTGATACCAAGTTTGAATTCTAAGGAGTTTAAGAACAAGAGAAAACAATTGGTAATGGGTTCTATGGCTCAATCCATACGAGATCCAGAATATATAAAAGCAACCTTAGAGTTACATCACAACACGTTAACATACAAGCCCGAGCTAATATACAGTTACTAAGAGATAGAGTTATAGTTCAAGTCAACAACTATTATTGTGGAGTGCTCTGAATCTACGCTAACACGGCACTACCCCAACCACCATCGTCAAACCTAAGATAAAATTTAGACCCAAAACCAAATAAACGTGCAAAGACATTAGAATAAGTGAATAACATAAACAAAAATAGGTACCTTCAATTATCATCAAATTACTCCATTCCATAAAAATGACAGTAAAATAAGAAATTAAGAACACCCAAATGGGATCTGGGGGAACAACCCACGAATATTAAAAGCCTATACGAGATAATTCCATATGGTATCGATTCGGTTACCTGCTTTTCAAAAAAAGAAAAGAAAAGAAAAGAAAGAAAGAAAAAATCGGTCACCTCACCTGGGAAGTAGCATGCTCGAGGTCCTGGAAGGTAATGGGATGATCAGAGAGGACGAAGTCGCCGGAGGGGAACCGAGCCAAAGGTTTCCGACCCAAGTCCATTACAACCTCAATCAGGCGGTGGAGTTCCGGGTGTTCGCTTACCCTCCGTCGCATCTCCTCCGGCAATAGAGCCAATAGGCGTCCCAATTCGACGTCGGATTCATCTTCCGCCGCGGAAGAAGAAGCAGCCAAGAATTCCGAACCAGAACACAAGCATAAGCTACCTCTCAGGAGGTGGGAAACGCGTTTGATGAAAAGGGGGTGAGGAGAAATCGAGAAGAAATGATGTGTAAGGAGGGGCAGCTGTGTTGGTGACGTTCGAGGACGCAGAGGATGGAGGTAGCTCGGGGGAGGGAGAACTTGCTTTGGCCGGAACGCTAACATGCCCACCCCCCACGTTCTCAAGAAAAGTTCAGCTTCTTTCTCTAGTTTCCGATTTCTCTGGTGTCGACCGAGAGTGTGCAACGTCCAAGTAGAATTTTTGGAATTCTTATCTCGGCATGAATGAAGTTCTTGGGTGCTGCACTGCTGCTTGCAGCTTGCCTGCTTGGATCAGGTGGAGGTTCGAATATTCTAATTCGGGGAATTGGAGCCTGGAATGGATTTGGAAGTCATTCGTCTTCGTCCCCACCCATTTTAGTAATCGGTTCATGGGTTAAATGAATGGATTAAACTTTAAAGTGTTACTTACATTTGATCCAATACTTAATCCGACCCGTATCCATTTTACTCAGTCATATTGGACCTTAAGAAAGATCCACCTGAGTGATTGGATTCGGCCTTCGGGCAGTGCAAGGATACGCAAATTAGGTACAAGTACAACCACCAATGGTAAGAAAGAATACGTCCATTCAACTCCGACCCATATTTTTTCAGTGTTCTATTCCATAGTTGATGTTTATAGTTAGTTAGTTACAGACCAAATGTGTTTCAAAAATCAGAATTGAATATGGATCTTATGGTTAAGGCTGATATAGAGGAAAAGGATAACCCACGTCATAAATGATATATCTGAATTGGCCACATGATTCGTCCACGTGGCTTAATAGGTGGGGTCACCCAGGAAAAATTCCTGATTGACCAAATGGAATTCAAGTTTCAGCGAGAAGCTCTTTACTTAATAGGTTGTGTTTGGTTTGAAGGAAAAAGTATCCCTACCTTTAATACTGATCCAGGCCTCTAACTCCTCCCCCAGTCCCCTCCCCCACCCTAGGCCCCCAACTCAATCAAAACTCATTTCAGATAAAGAAACAAAATATATCCATACTCATTAGAGTCAAAGAGTGTTGATTGAACTTTCATTCCCTTTTATCAACTGTAAAATGTATAATTAACATCAAATAGTGAAATCTGTGATCTATTGGTACATGGGTTTTCAATCTTTGACGCCCAAATAACAAAAATCTCTTGTCATGCCCAGTTCCACAGTCGAGAAAAAATGAATGAAGGGGAAATTCATTCATGATCTCAATGGAAAATAACAGTGCCAACTGAACTATCTGAAGTCCTTCCTAAGAGATGTCCAACGAACCGCTCGCATTGAAGCAAGGCCATCACTAGCTTTCCTCTTGCGAGAATTTGACGTCGACAGCAAGTTGGGCAGCAAAAGAAGATCAGTATCAACATCGACAACTGAACCGCATCGAACAGCAGGAGGAAAAAGGTGGGTAATGTCCTGGAGAGGCCTTCTCACCCTCTTCTTCTTATGGATAGAAGAAGATGGAGTGACTGCATAAACCGGGCTAATATGCTTGGTAGAGAAAGGAGGGATATTCTCTTTGTTGCATTCGCAGAGCGAGATGATAGCATCCATTGCTGAGTAACCACACTCTAACAAAAGCAGCGACCGAGAGATAGGGAGAGAGAAGATGGTGGATGAGACGAGGAGAGGGGAGAAAGGTATTTGTAATGGTGGGTTGTTGTACAGGTTTTGGAGGGGAGATTCAACTATTCAAGTTGTTTTGGATGAATTTCATTTTTTTTATTATTTAATTTGCAGTTGCGGGTGGGAGAAGAAGGGAGGGATTCTGTGATTTGATTTTTGAATCTTATAATATTATATCATTATCCGAGTCAAGGCGAGGGAGGACTGAGGAGGGGCGCGGGATTCGCTTTCGGTCTCTGAGTCACGATGGATTCACGAACCGCGAGGGGGATTTCGAATTTGAGTAAAAAAAGGAAAAAGAGCAGTAACTAATTCCCTAATTGGGTTACCTTTACCCGGGACGAATTCCAGTGCCAGCCGCTTATAATTGATTTGAAAATTCGGAGCCTCCAACCCAACCCTTCCCGGTCTTTTAATAAAGTTCTGATTTCTTGACTTTCGCGCGCGAGCCAAATGAAAGGAGGGAATTGTTGTATTGTGGCAGTGGTATTAGTAGGGCCCGTGCGATGTACGGGAAATTAGATAATTTAAGGGGTTTTTATGGTTCAGTCCACCCTATATCTTGATAGAGATTAAAATATAAGGAATGCTTAAAAATTATTATTATTTCCATTGGGCTACACAATCAGGTCATCTCCAACCCATAAAATCTTCCAACCCTAATGCAATCTGAATTTGATGCCAACCCTAAACCAATAAAAGACCTTACCAACCAACCAATTGATATTTTGGCATCGGATGTTAAAATTAAATTAATAAAAATACTTATTTATAGTTTATTGTTGTTTGTACAACAGAAAATAAAAAACATAGAAATAAAATTTTGAATATCTTAAAAATTTTTAGTACAAACATTGCTATTAATAAATTATTTTTCAAAAATTTATAAAAAAAATTAAACTGATATGAATAAAATTTTCAAAATTTATTGATATTAATAAATTAATTTTCAAAAAAAATGAATTTATGAACAATTAATTAATAAAAATATAAAAATTTTCTAGTACGCTACTGTGAAATCAAAGTACATTGAAAATCAAAAGACCAGGTCCGGTAGGATCAATTTAGCATTGTAATCGGATTGGATTGCTATATCCGCATCCGATTCAATATATTAAACTTTTGGATCCAGATCCGAACCACAACCTGAAGTTGTCGGGCTCTGATTAGATTCGTAGTAAATTTATAATTATAAATTTTTATATAATTGTTTATAACATCAATATATATATAATTAATTTTTATCTCCATCTGATCCAATTATTATTCAAATGCAAGTTCTAATTTCCAAATTTCGGGTTGGGTTACTACGATCATATTGGGTTCAGGTCATGCTCAGCATGATCTCATGCTAATTTCTCTACTTCATTTTGTCAAATGTACTTATTTGTTTTTTAGATTCTAAGGGTTCATGTTAATCCAATATTAATATTCTTATTGTAAAAGAACATAATAATCATGTTTTAGAAAAATCTGTCATTCTTTATATATACACACACGTAAATACATATATGCATAAATACTCACAACAAAAAAATACATAAATATATAGATATATACATTTATGGGTGCATAATTGCATAGTTATACATGCATGAATAATGAACCTACATATATACAAATACCTATATGCATAAATACATATTTATATAATCTTTATAACATACAAATATAAAGTTAAATTGGATTTAGGTTGGTCAAGGCCTCAACCCAAAGTTAAGCCAAGTTTATACTTTTCAACCCTAACCCTAGTTTTTGGGCTGGGCTGGGCTTGAATTGTGTTTGGGCTAACCCAGCCCAAGTTACAGCCCTAGCATCAAATTGGGCATTGAACTTTCGAAATCCATTGGCGGCCCTAATTCATTTAGCACCCCTTTGGCTTAATACTCCTTCGTAAGAGGTAAAGAATTTTGTCTAAGGGTAATACCAAAGAAAAGAAGTATTGTTTAAGGGTAGTGAAAATTAAGCAAGAGGACTGATACGTTTTGGTATTACTCTTAAACATTTAGCACCCTTTTAGTTTAGTTTTAATGGCGGATGCCCATTTTTCAAAAATAGGAATTCTTATCAAAGGGCCATTTGGAAATTTCATTTGTTTGGACTTCTAACCTGTATCAATGGGTATCTTGAGTGGACAGAATGGTTTTGCTCAATGTTTCGTTCTTTCAACCCATCATTTACTCGGTCGGTTGAGCCATTTGATGGAGGTTTTGCACTCTACAAATTTGTGTTTGTAGTCTTTTGCAAACCAAACCTTGAATAAAATTAAACTCCACAAATGGTTCAAAAAAACATACTTCCTTAAAACAGTAACATATAAACATGTTCTTAGTTGTGTAGTGTTCTGATTTTTCTGTTTTCTTTTAAGGCTGTGTCTGGTTGCAACGCAAATAAATTTGCATTGATGCAAAACCATGGTAGTACAAATGATTTGAGTGTAAATTCTGACTTATGTTTATTTTATTTTATTTGATTGCAATACAAATGAAGTAAATTAAGACATGAAGCAGAATAAAGTAAAATCCAAAACAAAATAAAACAACAATTTGCATTTTTTACATTTGCACTCTCATGCATTTGTATTAGTGCAAATAAATTTGCACCACAACCAAACACAGCCTAGGGTGAAACTGGAAACACATTCTTGAGATTTCCTCTAGCACTTCATAAAGCATATTGTTTGGGTCATGGTTGAGCTGGCCTTAGGCGACACGTGGCCACCCAATCATCACCCGATCACCCCGGCCACGTCAGCACAACCCGGCTAGCTTCGTGGCATACACCAACTCTGCGGCCTTGGTCGCGCTACACTATTATTGTAGCCCCCCGTCTTATCTACCCAACACATTACGCGAATAAGCACGACCAAGGAAAGGAGGAGGAATGAGGACAACTCCACTGGGGAATAGGACTCTATCCCAAAGACCTCGGCGGTTAACCTCATCTCGGCAACCCTACAAGTCCAATCCGAGCAAGACACAGATCTCTGGCTACAAAAATGTATCTCCCGCTCAAGGTAAGGGATTCCAACTTCTAGCACCCATATTGTTACTTTGCTCGGTCCAACCATCCACCACCTTCTACTGACTTGAGCGTCAGATTGCCTACCCGGGGATAACTCCTCGGGCCTCTGACTTCCCTTTCTGGATCACAGGTCTTGAAG